ATTATTTCGGAGACAGGGTCTTGCTCTGTTCCTGGGGTAGAGTGCCGTGATGTTATTGTAGCTTGAAGCAACCTCAAACTTCTGGGCACAAGCAATTCTCCTGCCTCTGCCTCCCAAGTAGTTGGGTCTGCAGGCATGGGCCACCATGCCCAGCTAATTTTTTGTATTTTTTGTAGAGATGGTGTCTTGCTGTGTTGCCCAGGCTGGTCTCACATTCCTGGCCTCAAGCAATCCCCCTGCCTTGGCCTCTCAAAGTGCTAGGATTACAGGTAAGAGCCACCACACCCAGTCAGACTTTATTTATTACAGCAGTTTTAGGTTCACAACAAAATTGAGCAGAAAATACAGGGTTCTCTTACATACACCTTTGCCCACTGTCAACATCTTACGCACCTTCCACACTTTCTTCCCCTGCCCAAATGCACACCTTCCCCCACCATCAACATCTTGCTCTAGAGTGGTACATTTTTAAATCAGTGAATCTACACTGACACGTCATTTTCACCCAAAGTCCATTTTACATTAGGGCTCACTCTTGGTGTTGTATATTCTATGGGTTTGAACAAATGTATAAAGACAGGTATCTGTCACTATAGTATCATATGGGAAAGTTTCCCTGCCCTAAAAATTCTGTGCTCAACCTCTTCATCCCTTCCTCCCCCTTACCCCTGGCAAACATGGATCCTTCTACTGTCTCCATGATTTTGCCTTTTCCAGAATGTCATATCGTTGGAATCATACAGTAAGTAGCCTTTTCAGGTTGGCCTCTTTCACTTAGTAACACGCATGTCAATTTCCTTCATGCCTTTTCATGGCTTGATAGCTCATTTCTTTTGGAGATGAGTAACATTCTCTTGTCTGGATGTACCACAGTTTATGATTCCATTCACCCACTGAGGGATATCTTGGTTGCTTCCAAGTTTTGACAGTTACAATAAAGCTGCTATAAACATCCTGTGCCAACTTTTGGGTGGACGTAAGTTTTGAATTTATTTGGGTAAATACCAAGGAATTTGATGGTTGGGTTTTATGGCAAATGTATCCTTAGTTTTGTATGAAATGGCCAAAATGTCTTCCAAAGTGATTGTACTGTTTTGTGTTCCCACCAGCAATGAGTAAGAGTTTCTGTTGCTCTATATCCTCACCAGCATTTGGTGTTTTGGACTTTTGCTCCTAATAAATGTGTAGTGGTCTTTCATTGTTGTTTTCATTTGCCATTCTTTGATGACATATGATGCCATCTTTTCATATGGTTATTTGCCATCTACAGATACACAATCTTTTATGAGGTGTCAGTTCATGTGTTTTGCCTATTTTTTAATTGGGCGTTTGCTTTTTTATTGTTGAACTTTAAGAGGGTTTTTTTTTTTGTACATTTAACAGTCCTTTATCAGACATGTCTTGTACAAATATTTTCTCCCAGTCTGAGTCACTACTTTTTATGTCATCTATCTTATAAATTTAAGGATTATAATATTCATTTAATTTCTCTTTCTTTTGGACTTCTGAGAACCTTGACTTTTATGTTTTATACTAAATTCAAAGCAACATTCTATCTTTTGAATGGCAGAGAGCAAAATAGACTTTGGTTGAAGAAATGGTATTTACTATGCTCCCTTCACAAGCACTTTGAAACACAGGTTGCTTTATTTGTTGTGTTTTCTAGCAAACTGAATAAGGCTCATCACCTTAAGCAACAAAACTTTCTATCTGAATCATTTTGGATGGATATCTTTAAAACATAGGTTACTGTTTTACCTGTCTAATACAGCAAATATTGAACATAACTGAACTGCTTCACTGACTTTAAATCATAAGAGAATAGTGCATCCATGAAACAAGAACAGGATGCTGTGAAATAGGAATAATCAGAGAATAAGAACAAGCTCTTAGAAATTAAAAATATTATTGTCTAAATAAATTCTGTAAAATAGTTCAAAAACAAGGCCAAGAAAATTTCCCAGAAGATAGAAACAAAGTGACAAAGAAATGGAACACTATAGGAAAATAAAAAAGAATCTTAAAAGATCAATTTGGTATATCTCCTATCCAGTTAATAGGTATTCTTAAAAATAAACTAGAGAAAACAAAGGAGAGTCATTTATCAAAGAAATAATAACAGAAATTTTCCAAGAATAGAAATATGGGTATTTCCAGCTTGACAATGGCTAGCACAGTGAATGGAAAAAGACCTGCACCAAAGAAATTGTGTAATTTCAGGATCCCAAATTTAAAAATGAGATCCTAAAAGTTTCCCAGGAAGAAAAATCACATGACATGCAAAGGATCAGGAATAAGAATGATAATGCTATGTCTTTTCAAACTATCAAGTTTGAAGTAAAATAAAGACATTTTGAGGTATGTAAATTCTCTACAACATTTATCTCCCATATATAACACCTTTACTCAAGAGAATGTTTTTTTTTTAACATAAGAGAGGAACCAGAAAATGGAAAGACTCGGTTTCTAGGGGATCCAGTGCAGGGAAATTTCGAAAGGAAATCCCAGAAGGAGCACCTCCAGCAGGTCTAGGAGTCCGCCTTCCAGAGTGGAACGGGAGGATGGCGTCTCCAGGGGCAAAGCAATGTATGTAATGACACATCATCTAATGTATTGTAACGTATTCGATGGTGTGAGAAGTGGTATGAGATGTGTTGGTGTTTGATAATTAGCAATAGGTGTGTTGAAAGTAACCTAATAAAAGTGAGTTAATTATTCATTCCAGGAAAAATAATGTTACACAGAAATGGAAAAGTAACTGCAATACTTTTTGGCTCAGTAGTGAACAACATTTACATGGCCTGATAATATAATCAATGAGTATTGATCTAACTGTAAGAGGGGGATAGGGTGAAGAGGGTGTAGGACAGCTTAATGCTCATCTGCCTTAACAGAAAGTGAATAATGCCTAACATGCATATGTCATGAAACAGCGCTATGTTATTTAGAAACATGGAAGTAAATATCAGAAGAAACAGCTAAAATATTAATAATGAAGGCTGTTGACTCTAGGAAGTGAGACTGGGGATGAGGTAGTGGAATGGGACAGAAGAATTATTGTTTTGCTTTAACATTTGATAGTATATTGTTATATATTATTATTTTCAGTCTTAAAAGGGAAGGAAATTTGGACACATGCTACCACATGAATGAACCTTGAAGACATTATGCTAAGTGAAGTGAGCCTGTCACAAAAGGACAAATCCTGTGTGGTTCCACTTACAGGAGGGACCTAGAATAGGCAAATTCAGAGATAGGAAGTAGAAACGTGGCTGCCAGGGGCTAGGCAGAAGAATTGAGATTTAGTGCCCCATTAGGGGACAAAGTTTCAGTTGGGGAAGATGAAAAAGTTCTGGGGACAGCTGGTGGCGACAGTTGTCCTACAGTGTGAATGTGCTTAATGCCACAGGAGTGGACACTGAAAAATGGTTAAAATGGTAAATGTTATCTATTATATATTTTTCCATGATAAAAAGCAACTTAAAAAGGAAAAATATATAGTTATATTTGATTTTTGAGTAAGTATATGAGTGTTTTAATTTTATTACAACATTAATTTTTAGAAAGCTCTGGATGAATGCCTCAAAAGTGTTCATATGAGTCATAAATATAAGTGTTTGTGCCTAGATTCTCTGACATCATTTGGGCCCCACAGGGGTCTTATTTGCTTTTATCCAGTTCTTACCTATGTTCCCCTTAGATAAAGATATGTAAGTTATTTTCAAATAAGGAAAGTATTATTGACTATGAGCATTTTGTGAATATATTTCAGGGGAATTTGAGATACCAGATTCGTAAATGTAGCACGTTAACACTGTGAATAAATGTACAGATTCATCCAGCTTGAATAAGGACCTTATTATGCAGGGATTGTCCTTTTATGGCCTCTGCTGTTCTCAGTGGCTATTCTAAATGCTCCGCTGTGCGGTCTCCCCTGAATGGTTTATGGGAACTCAGCTCTGCATTCGTGGGGACTGGGTGGGACTCTGAGTGAATTAAAGCTACAGTAGCAGACAAGTGCCTGTGTTATCACAGCTGAGTTCTCGCTCACAGCTAATTATCTCTTTCTAATCACTTTCCTTAACCTGGTCCAAATACTGAGAGGGTGTGTATTTGGTAATAAGCAATAAAAGGCCAAGTGGCTTGGCAGTAACAGGTGCAACTAATAAAGTGCAATCCTAGTTCAAATCATTGTCCCTGAAGTTTACAATTGAGAAGGTAGCTTTAAGAAGAAAATAACAATGGAAAACAACTTTATATATCCTTAGAGACTTGAAACTGCTTTCCAGCCTCTAAGTCATACTGCTTGGTTTTGACAGGTTACATTTACTTTGAAGGGTTTATTGCTATAAAAGCAGTGTTATTTCTCATTGTCATCCTATCTAAATTTTCCTCTTTGTTCACAGTGCGAGATGAGGATAGAAGCACGACGAAAAAATCTTCTCATTTTGATTTTGCACTATTTAACACAAGAAGGGTATGTTATGTTACAAATATTTACAGAGATGATTCCTCTCTTTCTCAGACCTCCACTTTTCCAGATCCATACTTTTAAAAACAATCGATAGACTTAATTTTTTAGAGCAGTTTTATACTTATAGAAAAATTGAGCAAAAAGTAGAGTTCCAGCTGGGTGGGGCGGCTCATGCCTGTAATTCCAGCACTTTGGGAGGCCGATGTGGGAAAATTACTTGAGGCCAGGAGTTTGAGACCAGCCTGGGCAACCTAGTGATAACTGTCTTACCAGTTTTCCTTTCCTCAAAATGAAAATATTATATTTACCTGGACAACCTAAGCCCAACTCTTTTTTTTCTTTCAATACCCATTCTATAACTGGCCAGGAGAGGAAATCTGGAAGCGTTGGAGTGTGGCTGCCTACCTCATTAAAAGCACACAAGCACTTATAATATTAATAAGTCTGCTGCTATGCTGGGTAGTATGAGAGGAAGAAAGCTGATCCACAAAGTGTTTGAAAGGCATTCTCTATTTTAGATTTTCCTTTCTTTTCAAATTTCAGCCAGGAAGAAAACATTCAGTTTTCAGGCTAAGGGCTTAAAATCTTTTTGAGTTCTCAACCAGGGCGATTTTGCTCTATCTAGTTGGTAGAGGCTAGGGATACTGCCAAACGCCCTACCATGCCCAAGACAGCCCCCACAACAAAGAATCATCTGACTTTAAGTATCGATAGTGCCAAGATGGAGAAATCTCAAGTTAAAGCAGGAAGAACTAACCAGCTGTTGGTTTCTTCCCAAAAGGTTTAATGAGCATCTTTTCCTCCATTAAACATAGTAGCTATCAGTGAAATAAGGGAAGTACTGTAATTTAAAGTCAAGTTTTAGAATCCAGTTACCTTAGTCCTGGAGAGGTATGAAGGAAAAAGATAAGGAAGGTAGGAGGGAGTTGAGAGGGAACTGAGAGTTTTTCATTGTTTCTCTTAACCATGCCGTCTACAGCTGATTTAAATAAACCTATTGCCCCATTGAAGGGAATGACCATTTTAGAGACTTTGAGGAATTTTTCTTTTAAATTTTATGGTAGATATTGGAGTCCCTATTCTACTTCCTTTTTAGAGATGGGATCTCGCTCTGTCACCCAGGCTGGAGTGCAGTGGCACCATCATAGCTCACTGCAGACTTCTGAGCTCAAGTGATCCTCCTGCCTCAGCCTTTCGGTAACTGGGACTACAGGCACGGGCCACCACACCTGGCTTCCTATGTCATACTTGAAGAAACTGAGGTTTAGAGAGTCAAGGACTATGGGTCAGGAGGCCACCTGGCTCCAAGTGGTAGCACTTTCCAGGCCTGTCTTGACCCAAAAGGCTTCCAGGGACCTTATTCCTCTGCTCCAGTGTTGAAATTTTGCTTTTGCTTAAGGATCACCTCAGAAAAATAAAAATGTATGACGGCCATGTTTTTTGAGCATTTTTATTTTTGTAATGTTGATCTTCTTAAAGTCTTTTAAAGAAAATGAAATTTCTACAATTGCACTTAAGCATTTTTAAAAATTATTTAAGTCATGAAAGGATCTGAGGTGTTTTGGGTTTTTTTGCCAAAATTTTAGATGTATGCATATGATAACCAATTCTAACACTGTACCTTTGAACAAACTTTGTTACTGAGTAATCTGATTTATTTTCTCCCCATAAGCTTGTTAATTGCAAAATGTGGCCTTTCTCATAACACCTTTTGGGAGTGACTTTTTTCTTCTGGTAAATGTGGTGAACCACGACATTTTTAATGCAGGAAATTTCCTCATTTTACTTACTTTGAAAGACATGGTTTTATTGGACCCTTCTCTTTTTGGTGTTGGGGATGTAAATTTTATTGAGAAAATGGCTCATTCTTTCCACATGCCCACCAGTCCCAGATGAAGGAAACGAGTGCCCCCCTCACGTGGCTAGTGCACAGGCCATCAGGGGCGCTCAGCTACTAAATCCGTATCCACACCTCGCAGCGGGGTGGATCGAGAGCACGAGCAGGGCTGACTTTGGTCCACTCTGTGCCTCTTTCCCCATCTGGAATATGAGGGTGCTCCTGAACTTGACGGGCCAGGCTGTGTGCATATGGGCAGTGGGCTGCTCTGCGCTACTCACTAATCACCTACGAAGGACAGTGTATGAGATGGTGCCAAGTGTCTACTCCAAGACAGGGCTGTGGGGCTTGTTGTGGTAGGGAGGGCTTCTTGAATCAGCACACAGACTTAGGAGACAGACTGTTTTCTTTCAAATGCCCACTCTACTCTTTGCTAACCGGTGGCCTTGGACAGGTTGCTTATTATCTTGGTGCTTCGGTTTCCTCGTCTGTAAAATGGGGTAAGAGGGGATGGCTAAATCTCAGGTAGATACTATTATTATGAGAATTAAATATGTTATATGCTTAGAATAGTGCCTGACAACAAACTTTATATGAGCACTTGCTATTTTTGCTATGGAGGAGATCAGATTTGGACTTTATTCCTTTAATACTCAACCTGGTTCAGCAAAGGACTTTAATTAAGCATTGGAATGTGAGGTTGGCTCATTTGACTACATTTTCTTTTTTTCTTTTTCTTTTTTTTTGTTTTTGAGACAGAGTCTCGCTCTGTTGCCCAGACAAGAGTACAGTGGCGTTATCATAGCTCACTGTAACTTCCGACTCCTAGGCTCAAGCGATCCTCCTGCCTCAGCCTCCCAAGCCAGTAGCTGGGACTACAGGTGCACACCGCCATGCTGGCTAATTTTTATGTTTTTTATAGAGATGAGGTCTCGCCCTTGCTCAGGCTGGTCTCAGACTCCTGGCCTCAAGCGATCCTCCCACCTCAGCCTCCCAAAGTGCTAGCCACTGTGCCTGGCCTGACTTTATCTTTTGATGGATTCTCAGCTCCATCCAAAGAACCCTGAGTTAAAATGCCTCAAGGCAACATTTTTCTAAGTGTGTACAACACTTGGAATGGTAGTTTTGCAGAATGTTACTAGGCGTTACTTTAAAAGTTTTGTGGTCAGGTAAGCTTGGCAAACATTGGGTTAAACTAAGGTAAATAGGGTTCCTTATTTCAGGACTTCTCAGACCATCTAATTTACTATGTGCAGTGAAAATATTTTTATAATAAAGTCACAGTATTCAGGGTTTTGCAAACCAGTTTGGCCAAACTGGTTTTCTTTAGAGACTAGTTTTCCACAGAACACTTTGAGAATGCTACTTTTGTAGACTAGTTGACTCTTATAACACTTGAGTGCACCATGCTAGGCCCCAGCACTGTGAGCATAGCATTAATAGATCGTTAAAAAGTATTATTTGAATAGCCATTGAGGAATTTACTAGAATGTAGATGGGTAGAATAATTAGAAAGCAAGACAAAGCCATTTATACAGATAATCCATGATATTTATTGTAATGTATTTTGTGTTACAGAAATTGTATCAGAAATGATAACTATAAAAACAAAAAGGCAAACAAAAGTCAGCATAGCTAACCCTTCTCCAGTTGCTGTCATTATGGCCAAGAATTTACCATACACTTACAAAGCCTGCATTTCCCCTTTCTGCCACAAGATGGCTCTTTGAATCGCACATCAGTGAAAGTTCTAGAGTTGATCGTTTTCCTGAGACCTGCAGGGAAAGGGATGTATGAGTGAATTATCAAGACGAAAAGTAAACTAGAGGTACTTTTAAGGACATATCAGTATCAAAAAAAAGGAGACCTGCCTTTAACAAAGAGCTACAAATTCAGCAAAGAGGATAGATTCCTGTGGATTGGAATAAACAATCAGGGAAATCTTTGTAGAGAAGGTGGCTTGAGCTGGACTTGAAAGGTGTAGAATACGGATAAACAGAGGTGATGGATGAGGCCATTCCAGGCGAATGCACAGAGGAAGAAGGGCACAGCATAAGTGGAACAATTAAGTAAACAGAAAGAGCAGAGTTTGAATGTGTGAGTGAGAATTGGGAGCAGCAGACAATGGAGGGTCCCAGACTCTGGTTTTTCTAGTCCTGCATATCCATCTTCTTGGGCCCGAGTAATGTTAACAGCCTCCCCATATCCCTCCTGTTTTTGTTCATTACTGCACACTGCTGCACACTACTCTTCCTGAAGTCTTGCCCCGTGACTTTGCTAAGAACCTCTAGCATCTCCTCCTGCCAACCATCTCAAGTTCAGACCTCATTCAAGCTCAGACAGTGTAACAGGAACACACAGAAGCAGTTCCATTCCCCTAACCAATTAGTTTAGGACACGTGGGGCCTGCAATTATCTATTCCTATAATTTTTGTTTAAGTCAAAACTCCATCATCTTGGAAAGAGTTCAGAATATAATATGTCAGTAAACACTGCAAGCAACCCATGTGTTAATAGCATATTTCCATCTTCCGCCTTTACTAATTTATTTAATTTTCTTTTAAAAGTGCATGCGTGTAAGTATATGTATGTATTTAGTCATTTTTAAAAGTTTAGAAAGATAGAGAAAATGTTAGTCATTATCTCTGAGTGGTAGAATTTTCTTTAGATTTATCTGCATTTTCTAGATTTTTCTTAAATGAACATACATTACTGGATACTAAACAAAAGTGACTAATAAAAACTGATTTAATTTTTCTCTCTGTAAAATGGGGATTAAGACATAGTATAGGCCAGGCACAGTGGCTCACTCCTGTAATCCTAGCACTTTGGAAGGCCGACATGGGATGATTGCTTGAGGCCAGGAGTCTGAGACCAGCCTGAGCAAGGGCGAGACCCCATCTCTATAAAAAACAGAAAAATTAGCCAGCATGGTGGTGTGCACCTGTAAATCCCAGCTACTGGCTTGGGAGGCTGAGGCAGGAGGATCGCTTGAGCCCAGGAGTTTGAGGCTGCAGTGAGCTATGATGACACCACTGCACTCTATCCTGGGCAACAGAGAGAGACCCTGTCTCAAAAACAAACAAACAAACAAACAAACAAAAAACAAAAAAGAAACATAGTATATAGAAGCCTGGTGAGACATCAATAAATATAGAAGCTGACTGTTGTTTGTAAGTTCTTTAAAATTAGCTTGGGAGAGATAAATACATTTCAAGGTCATTGGAAATAATTATGGCAATCTCTTTTAAGCAAATTCAATCTTCCAACTGATCTGAATTTGGTACAGGGAAGAAAGCATAATAAAAACGAAAGTTTTCTCTTTCTGCCTCCCTAGATTTGAATTAAACAGAAAGAACTTTAACCTGCAGTAGGAATTCTCAATTTGAGGTCCTTGGATGAGCCCCTGAAATACGCTAATTTGTGCATATTTGCATGTGTGCACACTTTTCAGGAGAGAGCTGTTGGTTTTAAAAGAAGTTAAGACCTAAAAATTTAGACTTGGAGAATCTTCCTACTTTAGAAAATATTGAGACACAGCCCTTGCTTCTAGTGCTAAGACCACTTAATGTGGACAGCTTTGCAGCTGAGCAAGTTAAAAATGACAGTGAAGAACCAAGGGTGAAGATGCCACTAACCTACAGAATCACCTTGAAGTGTAATGTGTGACTGGTTAAAAAATGACTAGAAATCAATATTGTATCCAAGTGGCTGTTGTCTTCTTATACCATTATAACTTTCCTCAGTGATGCCGATTGACAGATCTTTGGAATTTCAGAGCTCATGACATGGTCATTTGAATTGTCTCAACGATAGCAAATCTTGCTCTTAGGTGTTGAATTTGAATTTTGTCAATTGCCAAATGCTGCCTAACATGAACACTGGTGAATAAAGAGGTAATTAAGTTGGGCAAATACCAAATTTTGGCTAAAAATGAGTAAAAAAATTACAAGACATTTTCTTAGTTTATTTATTTATTTGACTTTTAAGCACTTCCAAAAACATTTTGAACGATGATGACATCACCAGATAAGTATGTAGCTCCCAGAGGGAACTGCTTTGAAAGACAATATTTGGATATACTTAACATATGTGGGGCTCTTTATAGGCAAACTTCATATGTACATAGTAGCTTTCATCTAATGTACTATTTAACATAGGCTTACCCTTTGCGTTTAAGTTAAGAGATGCGTTGCATCTCTTTGGGCTTGTAATGCCTGTCCTTATCCTTTTTATCCAGAGTTAAATGTTTTTTCTTCTTCTGTGCAACTGCCAGATATATTGATACGGCCAATGCTTTGGAGCACGAAACTAAACTGGGGTTACGACGCTTTGAAGTCTGTGACAACATTGATCTTGAAACTATTTTGATGGAATATGAGAGCTATTATTTTGTAAAATTTCAGAAATACCCCAAAATTGTCAAAAAGGCGTCAGACACAGGTACATGGCTATTTTCTAGAAATAAGGCTTTATCTCATCTTTAAGATTAGTGTTTCTTCCTCATCTTATAATACTGAGATAAATGGAGACCCTCACCCCGCACTGAAAGCGTAGACCAGAAAAATAGTGTAGCTACTCTTAGATCCAGCGCCGCCAATTGAAACACGATCAACTGGACATTGGCATCCCTTTATTCTTGTCGGCATTTGTTTAAGGAATGTGTATCAGCGCGATGAAAACAAAACCCCAGTGTATCACAGGTACTTTTCAGAAGATTGATATTATTTTAATTTCTTTAGAGATGAAAAGAGCTGTTGGAAGAGGATAAACAACAGAAGACTTTTTCTTGTTAGGAAGACCTATTATCTAACTTGAAAATAACATGAAAATGAGTATTGGGGAAGCTAATAGCTCATGTATAGATAATGAAATGCTTTTGAAAGCCATCAATCCAGATAATGATCAATAGAATGCAAAGACCCAGTATAGGTTAGCAGTCAAGGAGGCTGGCTGGAGGAAAGATCTAAAGTGAGGGCCCTGTGCTTTGTAGTAACATTGACTTAGAAGTCTGTAAGTGGGGGAAGTAATTATAAACCAAGGGAGATCATTGTCCTGTTTACAAGGCACTTGTTAAGCCACAGACTTTAACATTTCATGTAGGGACCCGGAAACCAAGAGGAGCATCAGCTAAAAATAGCCAGGGCCAAATCTCAGAGCTAGAAGGGGTCTAAGAGGTATTTTTTTTTTGAGCTCCCTTCCCATGCAGGGTTCAGAGCTTGGCTTTCTTGGCTGGTTGTTAGATCTAAGTCTTGAAGAGAAAGCACTGACTCCTAACCACAGGGTGATTGGCACTGTTAGTGAAATGAGCTTGTTTCTAGACGGCTAGTTCTCATCTAGCGTGATACATTCTCCTGTGATATTGGTCACAGTATCTCTATTTTAAGGTAAACTGGCAGAGTATGATTAAGTGGTCCCTGCCAGACTCACGCAATTACCCTGGTGTCCCATGCACCACAGCAAAACAGTGTCAAGTTCAGAAAACTCAATGAAGTGGGAGCTATAAAGCCTGCCCACACTGGAGTTGCCACCAGGTCCATGGTCTCCAACACGTTTGATATCTGAGGACTTTGGGGTCTTTCTCTTTATGGAGAGGCTGGAGAAGCCAGAACTCTCTCCCTCACCAGTAATTTCACTTCTCGCTAGATGAAAATAGCTTGGAGTTTCTGGATTCTAATAAGCAATAGCACATATTTTAAGAACAATGTAAAAGGAAAAAATATACCTGAAAAATCACTTTCTCTCACTTAAAATTAAATTCTTTCCTTTTCCTCCCAATGTTTGTTTTCTCACAGCAGAAAATAATTTACCACAAAGAAGTGGAGGGAAGACCAGAAGGTAAAGTGAGTGGTGATTTACCTTGATGAACTCAACTCTAGGAGTGTGTGGGACCCTTTCCAGAAGATTCTCCAGTGCGGCTCCGTGACTGTCTCCCAGCAATACCGACTGCGGTTATGTGACCTTGCTGGGCCCAGCCATGGATTCTCCTCCTGTTACAGCTGTCTGGGGTTTGGGTCACTGTCTATCCATTCTCCTGGCTTTACCACAAATAAGAGCACCCAGTGATGCTCTGTCTTTCTAGGCCCTGTGGTCTCACAAGTATGGACCTCAGTGATTAAAAGACCCGGGTTCGATTCCTGGATCTGCTACTTACAAACATGAAGCAAGTTTCTGACATGCAGTGAGCTCCCAGTACAGAGCAAACACCCAGGAAATATGATTTTCCCTTTTTAATCATTCAGTTAATTTCTTTGTGCACCCTGAGATCCCATGCCCTGACCTGTCTGAAGATGATCAATAAAGCAGGAGGTTCTCGCTCACACTTCTGCCATCTCCAGCACCGGCCTGAGGGGCTTGCTCTTCTTTTGCTTTTCTCTCCTTTTCCCCATGCTCAGCTTATATTCCTTTCTCCAGCTTCCCAACGCTAAACCTCATCTGGGACTTGTAGCATCTGATAGGGGCTACCCCTACTCTCAGCCCTTCTGGGTAGACACTTCCCACAAGGCTCCTCCTCCTGCCTCAGTGTCCTCCCTACTCCTCCGTTTCCACTCCCCCGACAAACCCTGATTGTCACAAGCTGTTCAGAAATGCCCAGGGGTGCTAGGGTGCTGCTGCTGGGGCATGGCCAGCTTTGGGGCATCAGGGTCTGTGGATTGTTGCTATTATAATAAAGCCCAAACCTCAGGGGAAGGTTAAAGTTAAAGGACTGGTGGCTAAAGTTAAAGTGGTGTGAACTTGGTTCCATGTTCGGAAGAATTTTACGATCATTAGAGCTGATTGAAAATGAATTGCATTGCTTTGCACACTAGTGCTCTTGTCTCTTGGAAATGTTAAAGTAGATCTTCTGGATTAAAACCATGGAAAGTTCCTAGATTTCCTACTGTTTCTTAATTTGAGCAGGAGGATTCCTTCTTCCTCTCACACCTTTCTGCTCATTTGGTACTCCTCTTAAGGAAGGTGGAAGGAACAATGGAACCGTGCTTGTAAAACCATGTGATCTTAGGTGCGAAAGCTATTTGCAGAAGGGCTGAAGCCATGTGGTGTGAAGGAGAAAAGAAGAGGGTGAGTCAGGGGTCTCCAGGAGGAGATGAACCCTCCAGCCTGGTCTTAGAAAAATCCAGTGAACAGACAGGAGGCAGTCAGGGCCAGGATGGACCAGGTGGGCAAATAGCCCAGCAGAAGAGCCCTGTTGTGGCCATCTGCATATCTTTCCAGAGCTTTCTTAAGTGTGCTACACCAGTTGTTTATTTACTTCAGATTAAGTGGTTAGAATAATTTCTTCCAAGGTCTTTGTACCCTCCCTCAGGATGATGAGCGACAGTAGTCAAAATCTTCCCAGGATCACCCAGCAGAGGCCACGATCCAAAACCACCTCTGGGAAGACAGGGGACAGCAGGTTTCTCAACAAGGAGCATCCTAAACAGGTCAGGATGACTTGGCTTGACTGTGGTAATGTCACACCTGGCTGAGAAGTAACCCAAAGAAAACAGTCACATTTATTTGTTTTTTGAGGACCTATGCTTTTAAAATTTGATTTAATTAAATTGCAGGATTTCTTTCTTCTTCTTTTTTTTTTTTTTTACAGTATCCTGGGTTAAAATCACCAACGAATCCCTAGAATTTCCTACTGTCTCTTAATTTGAGCGGGAGGACTCTTTCCTCCCCCAGGCTTTGCCCTGGTCTGAGTGCTGGATGACAGGTCTCAGAGGGGCGGGTGGGGCCCAGCCAGAGCAGGAGGGCCTGGTTGGCGGCTGCAGGGCTCCATCCTCCGTGTGAGGTCACTGTTACCCGACGTAACTGGGGTAACTGAGGTGGCAGGTCTTCCTGTCCTAGAGCCCATCCCTGGGGTCCTAAGTGTCAGCCAGGGACAGCGTCAGCTGTGGCTGGGTGCCAGAGGCTCCTGTTAGGCCTCTCCAAAATGCACATGGTTGGTCCCCACCCCAGACCTCCACTGTGGGCAGCAAGAAGAGAGATCCCAGCAGGTGGGTGAAATCAATGGCTCCGACTCAAGAGATCCATGTTTAGAACCTTCCTATTTAGGACAGAACATTCCAGGTTTCAAAGGAAAGAGGAACTTTCTCAGTTTCAATGGAAACTGGGAAAAGGAATGGAAAAAATCAATGTCAAAGATGCCTGGCAGAATAGAAAAGAGTAATCACAACATTCGGTTGGTCAAAAGGCATTTCTCACCCTCAAGGAGGTTCCATGGTCTGGCAGCTGCAGACCGACTCCGGTGGAAGGGAGGGGAGGGACAGGATGAATCCCACAGGAGGCTGGTTGGCTTTGCTGAGTCTCCAAACCCAGCCACGCCTGGCCACAAACACCGCTGGTCACAGGAGAAAGGACGAGCCAGCAAGTGGGGATAGGTTGAGGCACAACTGTCTCCTCCATTGGAAAAGCTGCTTGGCGTCAGTGGCCTGGCATCTTCTCAGTCTTCCAGGGACAGCTCATTCCCCGTGGCACAGGTGGATACCTAATTCATCTCATTGGGTCAGCACAAAAGTGGCCAAATCACACATGGGCTTCCCCGCTGGCAGGATTGCCACCCAGCATTGGAACTTGCGCGACGGGATAGGGCGGGCAGTTGCGACCAGCATCCCTCCGCGGCTTCCCACACCTGACTTCTCTGGTCTCCCTCTTCCTTCAGGAGGTTAATAACACCCACCTGGACAGCACTGACTTTGGCTTAAATGTATCCAGAATCAACAAAGTCAGTGGAGAGGAAAACACCCACCCAGGAAGAGTAAGTGGAACTCATGAACCTAACACCGAAAGGGGGAATTTCTTTTTCTTCTCAAAAACGAAAACTAAAAGCATTATTTTTGGTAAACAGGAAAGTTAAAATGCAATGATTGAAGGTTGGTCATGAGGTGAACCGGGAAGAGCTCTGGATGAGGATGAGAAAACGGGTTCCGATCTGAAATCTCCTTTCTGGAGGAATGGTCTCAAATGAACCGCCCCATTGCTAAGGAGCTCAGTTTCCCCATTTGTAAACTGAGGGGTTTGGAAGAGATTGTTTTTCCTGTTGCTTTTGGCTTTAAAATTTGGTGATTAATGATGAATATTGGTGTGACAGTCCTGCATTATTTCACGAGTTGGGGCCTCATCCTCACTCTGCTCTGCCCTGTCGGTGGCAGTTGATTAGTGGTGTCACCTCTCTCCTTGGAGATAGGCTCCGGGTTTAAATGTGATTTCATGTGAATCATGAAAACTCAGTTCATATAGGGGTGATCTTGTCCTTGATGGCTGCCTCTGCCCTTTTCATAATGAATCTCATGTCTGGATTTGTAAATAATAATTTCTCAAACAGAAAAGACCCAGATTGGGTGGATATATTCAAAAGGTAGGTTAAAACATGTCATTTGGAAATGAAAAACACCATATTTCCCTTGATTGTACCCCCTAGGGTTCTAGTTCTTTAAGAGTCTTCTTTCTTTTCCTCAATCGAGCTCTCACACCAGTGGACTGCTGACTTAGCTCTGGCCAGCTCTTTTTGGGCATGCTGAACTGTGTGTGTGTGAGTTCAGAGGGGCGGCTGGAGCATGTCCCTGGAACTCAAGAGGGGCTGCCTCATTGGCCTGCACTGGCTCCCTTTAAGGGCCTCCATGACATGGGTGATTGCTGGAGATGATACCATTTGAATCAATGCCTCCCATGGAGAAATATGTCCTTGTTCACCTTCACTGCTTGTGTCGTGTCTTCGGTCACCTTTGTGCTTAGCAATTTTGTGGCATTAGTTTCTCTTGTGAACGCCTTCCATTGATAGGAATGGCCATTTCTGATTGGGTCACGAGGAAGGGACTATTTAACCCAGCACTTAACCTTTGAAATAGTCTGGCTATAAATTCTCTTTCCAGCAGAAATGTCCTCAGGGTAAAAGGTAGATGGTTGTCTCTCTAGCATTTCAAATGTTCACAGGCTGTAGGAGGTTGTATGGCCAGGGGCCAGTCTCCAAAATGGATCTATCATTGCCATGTTAGGGACCCTGGCTTCAGCATCCCAAACCCCCCTGCACATTTAGTAGGTGTGCTGTTCTTAAGGACATGGGCTTTGGAGTCAGCCTGCGTAGGTTCAAACCCCAGCTCAGCTGCTTCCTCAATGTGTAACTTTGGGTGAGTTATTTACGATTTCTCCAAGTCTCATGTCTTTCATCTGTAAAATGGAAATAATCTTGGTGCCCCACTTTAAATCTTTAAATGTCGTAATGGCGCCTTAATAGGGAGCCTATCACGTAAGAAACACTTGATAAATGTTGGCTATTATTGTTATTGCTTTTTGCACACATCCTTGCTTTTTTTCTTCCTTCTTCTAGGGGAGACAGGGTGGCGTTCGAAGGAGTATGGGTTTGGGAGATGGAAATCTTAAGGCACTTGGCCTTAAGTCACTTGTTAGCTGTGTGGCCCCGGGCAAATTACTTAACCTCTCTGAACTTACACATGTATGAAACTAGAATGTCATTCCCAACTAGCAGAGGTGGTATAAGAATTAGAAATAATCCTTACAAAATACTTTGCACACCTGTTTTGTACCAGGTACTCTATTGAGTGATGAATGTGCATTATACTTAGTAGGCAGGAACTATTGTTATTGTTGTGCCAATGAGTTCTTCCTGTGCGTGTAATGTTTTAAAAGGACGAGAGGCCATACCGGGGAAGTAGTCATATAAGGAAGCAGATGGTTTGTGTCAGGAACTGAGAAGTGCTGGTGGATTTTTTATTCAAGTCAACTTCATTCTGAAGAATTTATTTACAACTTTTTAGGAGTGCCCCAACTTGAGGAAATTATCTTGTTCAATACCAGTGCAAGTTCTTTTTAAAGCTTAACTGCAAGTTTACCCTATATACCAGGGTATATAGATATCTCTTCATTTAATGAGGCCGAGCTACTAAGGAGAGTCTTTTTGCATGTTTTTATGGCATAAATAACCATTCCTTCCTTTCAGGGCCAAATCATTGACTTCAGGGGGCTGCTCACAGATGCTATCAAAGGAGCAACCAGTGAACTTACGTTGAACACCTTTGACCGTAACCCAGACCCCTCAGTAAGTGGCTAAGATGTGACATTCATCTTTCAAATTGCCAACATCCGGATGAACTTTAGAAATATACTTTTGAGTACAGTGAAACCTTAAGATCAAGTCAAAGGTCATAGCAACTTGCCACTGTTTGTTTCGCTTAGATCCATGTCCTGTGTTTCTTTCTAAATTATGAAGCAATATTGTACCGTGAGCCTTTCTGCTCCTATCTCCAGGAACGACTGCTGAAACCTCTGAGTGCATTTATTGGCATGAACAGTGAGATGCGAGAATTGGCAACCGTTGTGAGCCGGGTAAGATCTGATATTCAATTCACAAATTTACGGAGGC